GGGAACTGGGAGGAGGGGAGTTATGGGGGGGAAAAAAGAGGAACAAATGTAACCTGAACAATAAAGATTTAATTAAAAAAAAAAATAAAAAATAAAAAAAAAATAAAAAAAGGAAATATGGTAAAAGAAAACACTTTTAAAAAAATCTTTAGACTTGAATTTTAAGAGATCATGTTCATTTTCTTCTGTAATAAACTTAAAAGATTATCCATCTGCCCATTTGGTCAGATTTATTTATTCTTTAGCAATCAAAGCATTCAACAATGACAGCTTTTATTCTCAACCTTTAATAACATTATATTCATTATACTTGAGATTGCTTTGCTTTCCTATGAAAACAAAAACAAAAAACACCCAAACTATCCACCTATTAGTTCTGCAGCACAATTTTAATAAAAAGTTTTACTCATATCTGGACAATTTATATGATGTGGGCAGAGGAATATTAGAGTGAGTTTAAAGTGTCCAGTCCTGTAAGTGAAGAGCTTTGTTCTTTGATCCATTCCTCAATCCACTTTAATATCTGATTGATATTATCCTCTAGATCTAGTTTATTGCTGGGCAGTTGATGCATTATTTCTTCCTTGTAGGATGCCAATGCTTCTTCATACAGAATTTGAAAAATTTCACATTGAATGTTACCTTTATTTTCTTCTCACTATAAATCCCTTGTGTCAAGTCTTTTGCACAATACACTGTTATCTGTTTCCAGCACAAAAACTGTATGAAACCAGCATTCAGGGAAGAATTCACAACTGTGGTAGTCAACAGTAAATTCCACCTTCACCCATTTGGTTTTCTAACGCATCAACTACTCTATTTTCATCTAAAATGGGACAAGCCTACTCTTCATCACAGCCATCATATAACTGCCCTTCTCGAGCTAAATTGCCTACATCAGTGGTCGGCAAACCGCGGCTCATGAGCCACATTCGGCTCTTTGGCCCCTTGAGTGTGGCTCTTCCACAAAATGCCACGTGCGGGCGCACATGTAGAGTGTGATTGAAACTTCGTGGCCCATGCGCAGAAGTCGGTTTTCGGCCTGGGCGAGTCTATTTTGAAGAAGAGGCTTTAGAAGAAGTGGGGGGTGTCGGTCAGTTGGGCGACGGGAGACGCAGTGCAGGCGGGCAAGGCGCGCACGATTCATGCACGAGTTGAGTGAGCCAGTCAGTCAGCAGTCTCATTGTGCAGTGGTTAGTGCTAGTTGCGTCCGCAAATTGCGCACGGGTGACAAAAGTACCTACTCGAAGCATAAAGTTACCTGTATTTTTCCAACCAGCTGCAAATCCTACAGGTATTTTTGTCATCAATTTAAGAATTGTAATTCTTTTGTGTTGGTGGCTTTATTATTATAAAATGAAACATTTTTTTAGGTGCCCTGTTTGAGATGGCTACAAAGAAGAAGCAAAGAAAAACGGAAGACGAAAACCGTGAATTTAAAGTTGAATGTACCTACCTATATAGTTTAAGTTTAAAAAATTTGGCTCTCAAAAGAAATTTCAATCGTTGTACTGTTGATATTTGGCTCTGTTGACTAATGAGTTTGCTGACCACTGGCCTACATTAATGTATTTCAATCCTGAACTTGATGCAAATTCTTTGCCTAGTGTGTTTTTTCCAACCCCTGGAAGCAACATGGCCCTCAACGTGATGGCTCTAGAAAACACATGCTTAAATGGTTGGGTTTTTTTAAAAAAAAAAAAAAAAAAACAACCACAATGACAAATATGCAACAGAAACCATATATCGCTGTGAAGCCAAAAATATTTACTATCTGGCCTTTTACAGGAAAGTTAGCTGACCACTGTTCTAGGTAAAACACATAAGGTAAAGGAAGTTTACCTAAAGGCAACACCATTTCATGCAGTACTTCATCTTCTAACATCTTGGATATTAGCAATAAAAAGTTAAACTTCTTTTTGCTTGTTTATGACTGACTCAGCCTGCTCACATTTGGAGACAGTCCTCTTTTGGATGCCAGTTGCATAACAGAGATGAAACCCAAATTGTAACCAGATGGTCCACCCATTCAAGACAATTTATATTAACTAAAGAGGCTTTTGGTCCCAATTTACCCAGAAGAACCAGAAGGAGTGATTAAACTGTTATCTTGGACACAGCTATAACTAATCACATTATATTAGTACTAGAGGTCCGGTGCACGAATTCGTAAACGAGTGGGGTCCCTCTGGGTGGCCTGCAGGGATCGGGCCAAAACCGGCAGTCCAACGCTGCCTGCAGCTCCTACCTGCCACTTCTGCTTATCCTGGCCCCCCTGTGCCTACCGTGGGCTCACACCCAATCAGTCCCTATTGGGAGAGGCTCACGCAGCCACAGCAGCGCTCACCAGCCATGAGCCCTGCGTCTGGCGCCCTCCCAAGGGGAGTGGCTGCGGGATTGGGCTGAAACTGGCTTTCCAACATCCCCCAAGGGGTTCTGGATTGTGAGAGGGTGCAGGCCAGGCTGAGGGACCCCACCACTGCATGCTCGGGGCCAGGGAGGGAACTTGGGAGGGCTCCAGGGCGTATCTGGCCTGTCTTGCTCAGTCCCAATTGGCCGGACCCCAGCAGCAAGCTAACCTACCGGTTGGGGCATCTGCCCCCTGGTGGTCAGTGCACATCATAGTGAGCAGTTGAGCAGCCTTAGCATATCATTAGCATATTATGCCTTTTTTGGTAGTTCAGTTGTTCTGCCTTTTGGTCTATTTGCATATTACCCTTTTATTATATAGGATGGGGTTGGGGTTGTCCTATTTAAATACTGTTTTCTCTTAATGATTGGTCATCTTTTTTAGCCACTGGTCCTAAGCATTTCGAATTGCTCTGTCTTCAGGTTACTCACGTAAGCTTTCTGGGTCTTATCTCCTATAAGAAATGTCTAGACCT